AGGAGGCTAGCTAATTGGCACAGTCACTGAGTCAAGCCTAAACCAAGCCTCTTGCTTGGTTCTCAGTTTTGCTGCTTGGATACCTGTTTCTTGGGGAAAGACCGCAACCATAAGGTTTTGGAGTTCTCTTGATTAGAGGCTAATGGAGCTAATTTAAAACCTTGAAATGGCTCACAGTTGATTTCCCCCCCCCACCGCCCCCACGAAAGGAAGAATCCGGTGCTGCCTAGGTGTAATGAGAGCAGGCTTAGTGACCTGACCTAGGTAATTTTGAATCATTACAGCATTACTAGGAGCATGGTACAATTGCAGCCTAAGAGTTTTTGGTATATTAAATCCGTGGTTCTCAACCAGGGGTATACGTACCCCTGGGGATACGTAACGGTCTTCCAGGGGGTACATCAACTCATCATGATGTTTGGCTAGATTTACAACAGGGTACATAAAAAGCACTAGCCAAGTCAGTACAAACTAAAATTTCATACAGACAATGGCTCGTTTATACTGCTCTATATACTAGCCATTGAAATGTAAGTACAATATTTATATTCCAATTAATTTATTTTATAATTATATGGTAAAAATGACAAAGTAAGCAATTTTTCAGTAATAGTGTGCTGTGACAAGACAAATCAGACTCCTGAAAGGGGTACAGTAGTCTGGAAAGGTGGCGAGCCACTGTATTAAATATTACAGCTTTGGCAATTGTAACTGAATCCTCTGCACGTATCAGCAATACTTACATTTTTTGTATGCAATTTTGATTAAAATGTTGACCATGGATGAATTTTAAATAAATCTAACAGAATATAAATAAATGTAGTGCCAAATTCAACCTGGGGTTTGTTCTGCTAGAGGGCCCCATTGGCAGAAATCCACTAGGGGAAGAGGTGGTGGTGGAACAAAGCAACTACAGGTTCCCTTGTTCCAGTGCTTGGGGGCAGCACTGATTGGGATAGAAATTGTTGTGTGCCTTTGTTCAGTGCCTCCCTGCAGTAGTTCCTGCTCCTGGAAGGAGTTAAAGCCACCCCCTTTCCTTTGATGGGATCTCTGAGGCAGGGTAACAGTCAAAACACCTCCTGCCCTCTTTCTCCCTCATGGTAAGTTCTCTGACTGGGGGGGGCATTTAACCTCAGTGGTGCAAATATAATGCATACCTCCCTACATCAGGTTTTCTGATTCTGGCCCATCTACAGTATTTGGCATAAATATTAGCACCATAATGTGTTTGCAGTAATGCAAAATTCTGCTTATGCACAAGGGTTACTAAGCTACAGTTGCTGTGGGAAACAGAATTTTGAACTCTGACGTCTGTGCATGTAAAATTGCAACTCAGACATTGCATTAACATAGGTTTTTCACATTTAATTATTGTAATCAGAATGCTGTGAGTTGTGCATAAGCAAAAACAGAGAGCCTTGTGCAAAAAAACCAACAGCTCACAAGAGCTAAGCAAAGCCCAAGAACCTGAGAGACTTCCCCTGGAGCAGCAGCAGTCTTGTGGACAGGAGACAAAATCTAGCCTTTCCATGTTTCCTGATCTACTTGAGAGATGATCTCTCTCTCTCTCTCTCTCTGCCAAACTGCCATAGCATAGCAGAAGTGCATGAGCTGCAGTCCCATTGGTATAGATGAGAATGTGCTGTTGGTGGCTGATCATTTGCTGTGAGGGATCCACAACTTCGGAATTCATTCCCTAGATACAGAGCTAATTCCCACTCCCCCCCACCCCAACCCCACCCTAAAAATACTGGGAGGAGAGAAAGGAATTTGTTGGAATGGGAGGGTGGCATGAGATTTTAGGTGGTTTAGTTTGTTCGTAGTGGATTATACTTCTGGACTTCAGATATATTTGGGTATTAATTTTGTTGAATTTTTAAATTCCATCAGAGATGCCTAGAGCTTATGGGTAGATGCTCTTTATTTAGTGTGTACCTAAATCTATATAAAAATACATAGCTGCTATTATAATACTGTGAATAATTTTTGTTTTTGTTTTTTAATTCTTGTGGAACTAAGCAACATTCTTTAACAACTGAGAAGTAATATAGCTAGCTGTGTGACTTAATTATTAATGGTGCTTAGTGGGACTTAATGGCCAGTATTTGTCATTGTCATGTCAATCAATGTAATTTGTCATATCAGCATGTAATATAATCTAGCAATTTTGCAAAATTCTCTTCACCAATGGCAACTGATCTTCCCCTTTAGTCATTTCACTAACAGCATCAGCATCAGAAAGGCTGGTATGTTGATTTTTATGCCTGGGATGGTAAATGTACCTGGCACTTTTGCCGCACTGTTGTTCTAAGGCATTGTCTACTTATTTCTCTTGCCTGGATGTGAGATGGTATTGTCGTGGTTCAGGTCTAACTGCACTTCTGGGCCCTTCTGTGGTGTGTCTCTCTCTAAGAGCACCCCTTCCAGGTTTGAGACCTCAACCCTTTACTGGGATCCCTGGAGTGGAATCCTGTGATTCTCCTGCTCTTAGATTGAGTGCTGGGCTACCGTTCTCATGTACCAAATGTGATTGCTCAGCAGTTTTTCCCTTAGGGAGCTGGGACCAGTGGTGAATGTAGTGACCCAAAACAGCCTTTTCTAAATAAAGTGTTGTTTAATCTCAACAGTAGGAACAAAGGGTAAGGAGAGAAAAGGGTTCTTAACACAACGCAGAGTCTACATGCATATTTTTCTTAGCAAGAATCTCCCCATTGGTAGTCTTGTAGGTTTATCTTCCCAGATGCCCCTACTTCTGGGGACAGGTTCATTCTCCTTTCTGTCAGTTTTTGTCTCTCCCCCTTGTGTTTCAGGCTTGTCCATTTATCAGCCCAAAGTTCTTTCTTCCAGTTTCCCACATGAAGACCCCCTGTGTATACCTGAGAACCACCCCCACCCCTTGGGTTATCAGCCAGACAGGTGACCTTAGCATGGTCTAAGGTAAACTTTGAAGGAAATGATGCCTGCATTGTCCCTTTAAATATGGGTAAATGGGGCTATCTGAAACTCCTGTCCCTTTCCCGCAGAAATTCCTGCTGGAATTAAGCCCTGGTAGTCATACAATGACCAGCAAAATAACAAACAGAGGGACATATAATATTCATAAAAGATTACAGGCAACTCCCATGTCTTTCACAGGTAATGTCTTCATTTAGTTAAACTGGCAGAAGCTCCTGCGGGTGCCTATCCGATTAGAGGAAGATCATGTCCAATTATCAAGTAGCATTGTGATTTATGTAACCTGTTAAAAGGATGTAGTGACTCTTGTAGATATTGGATTCTATTAACATTATTTTTGTCTCTTTGCAGAAGAATATATTACATTCCAGCTAACACTTTATTCTGCAGCTGTAGGCTGCCTGTACTTGTATGCCTGCTTGTTCCAGATTGCCTTGCATGCTCGGTTTTGCAGCTGTGGCTGGTCTGTCATTTAACTGTCAAGGCATTTTAGTTAAATTATTTCCTTTTCCTGCAACAACTAAAAGGGGCACAGTTCTGTTGTTAGTCAGCTTCCCAGGTGCACTAACTAGCCAGCATATACTGAATCCCATGCTATTTAGTAGTACTCGAGTACAAGATGCAGGAATTTTGTCACATCTTGCTAGTAATCCAAAGAAATATGAGCTGCTGGGCTCACTTAAGGACCAGATCCTCCCTGTTATTCTGCTGGTGGTGCTTGGGGGGGGGGATGCGGGGGGCGGGGGAGGGAGGGAATTGTTCCAGGCTCTGGAGCCTCTCTGTGGCCACTATTGGTCTGAGGCTGCAGAATGCCCTTCTGCCCCCTATCTCTTAATCTGTGGGAGGCATTTGGGGTTGGAGCAGGAGAAGTTGCCAGTGGTTCCACCAGCATCACTCTAGCTACCCTCCCACCCTGATGACCCTTGTACTATTCCTCAAAGCCTGATTATGTTGATATGTGGGGGGAATCCCTAAGGGTATGTGTACATAGCAAAAGCTGTGAATGAGCTAGTCTACCTGAGCTAATGTGAATCCACCTTGTATGGGTAACATACGAGTGAAGGCAGCTGGCTTTAGCATGAGTAGTGCAAACCCAGCGTGGACCCTGGGTATGTAATCCGTTTGCTAGCCCACCCTGAAGCCTGAATTGTTCTGACTTCATTGCTATTGTTATCCAGGTTAGGCAGCTTCAAGCTAGCTTGGATGGGCTAGCCTGTGAACCGTTTTTGTTGTGCAGACCTACCTTACGACTCCTAAGTACCCCGCTGTTCAGCTTCACAAATCCTGTCCAAATCCAGCACGTACACTTCATTGGCCTCTTTGCATTTGTGGTGGCTGGGGAAGGACTTGTGCCCAACACATTCATTATGCTTTATTTGCCAACCAAGTTACAGTACAAAAGCCTTTAGTTAGTTAATATTTAAAGATCACTTTATTTTTCATGGCTAGAGATGGCAATTTTTTAACTGGTACATCTTTAAAATATACCTTCAGATTGGGGTCACAAATGTTGTTATACACAGCCCCACTAGGCCTAAAATAGGTCACAAATACCCACCTGTGGAGCAAATCAGCGTGCAGTACATGTGTGAATAGAGTTATAGAAGTGTCTGAGAGTGGGCTTGCAATCTTGGAATTAGCAGGGATGTCTGAAATATCAGGTCTTCTGCCCTGAATGTATCAGAGCATGAGCTTACATGCTGAAGCTTTATTTTAGGTCACAGGGTCTCAGTCAATGATTAGCTGATCGGGTGTACTAAAAATTATCTTTTGGTCAGCTACTGTAGTAAGAGGGAAATGGGCAGAAACTAGTATAAATCCTATCAGTTTTTTCTCAGCCATATTTTGTTAGTCTGAGAAGTAATAAATATCTGTATTGTGTAGGATATTTTCTTAAAGATGTAGACATTAGGGTGTTCATGTTATAGAAAATATACAGCAGCATATTTCTCTATTTCACATACGCACACATAGAGTAAGGCACAATTGTATGTAATGGATGGACTAGATAACTTAATGGGCCTTTTTCCATCTCTAATTTTTAGGATTCTGTGATCATCTCCACTGAGGCAGGACCAAGTACACCTAGACCATCCCTGGTAGGTGTTTGTCTAACTTGTTTGTTAAAACCTTCAGTGACACCGATTCCACCACCTCCCTTGACAATCTATTCCAGTACTTAACTATCCTTATGGTTAAGTAAGTTTTCTTCATATCCAACCTAAATCTCCCTTTTGCAGATTAAGCCAATTCCTACTTGACCTGCCTTCAGTGGATATGGAGAACATCATCCTCTTTATAACAGCCCGTAATGTATTTTGAAGATTGGTATCAGTTCCCCCCCCCCCCCACGTCATCTTTTCTCAAGACAAAACATAACCCTGTGTTCCTCATAGGTCAGGTTTTCTAAACCTCTGATCACTTTTGTTGCTCTCCTCTGGACTCTCTCCAATTTGTCCACACCTTTCTTAAAGTATGATGCCAAAAACTGGCCACAATACTCCAGCTGAAGACCTCACCAGTACATAGTAGAGCGGAACATTTACCTCCTATATCTTACATATTGCACTCCTGCTAATACGCCCCAGAATATTAACCCTTTTTTGTAACTCAGTCACATTGTTGGTTCATATTCAGTTTGAGATCCACTACAATTCACAGAACCTTTTTTGAAGTATTGCTGTCTAGCCAGTTATTCCCCATTTTGTATTTGTGTATTTGACTTTTTCCTTCCTAAGTGTTGCACTGTGCACTTGTAAATTTTTTTTTCAGACCATTTCTCCAGTTTCTCAAGGTCATCTTGCAGCCCTCCCAGTTGGTGTCATCCACATGTTTCATAAGGATACTTTCCACTCCATTATCCAAATCTTAATGTAAATATTGAATTGTACCAGACCTGAACCTGGTAGGACCCCATTAGATACACCCTCCCAGTTTGACAGCAAACCTTTGATAACTATTTCTTTGCATATGATTTTTCAACCAATAGCACACCCACATTACTTTAATTTCATTTAGACCACATTTCCCTGGTTTGCTTAAGAAAATGTTGTGTAGGACTGTCAAAAGCTTTACTAAAACCAAGATATATCATGTCTACTGCTCCTAAGAAGGAAATTAGGTTGGTTTGGCATGATATTTTTCTTGACAAATTCATGTTAGCTGTTACTCATCAGCTTATCCTCTAGCTGTTTATGATAGTTTGATAATTTATTCCAGTATCTTTCCAGGTATTAAAGTTAGGCTAACTGGTCTACAGTTCCCTTGAACCTCTGTTCCCCTTTAAAAGAGAGATCCTATGTTTGCCCTTCTCCAGTCATCTGGGACCTCACCCATACTCTGTGAGTTCTCAAAGATAATGGCTAATCATTCAAAGATGGCTTCAGCTAGCTCCTTATGTACCCTAGGATGGATTTCGTCAGGCTTCCCCTGACATCTAACTTACTTCTTACATAAGTTACATCTAACTTATCTAAACAGTCTTTAACCTGTTCTTTCCCTATTCTGCTTTGTGTTCCTTTCCTCCTCTTTTTTATGTTAATTATATTAAGCATCTGGTCACAATTAATATTTTTAGTGAAGACTGAAGCAAAATAGGCATTAAACACCTTAGCCTTTTTGGTGTCATCCATCATTAGCTCTCCTTCCCTGCAAAGTAGTAAATGCCTGTTTCTGCTTGCTCCTGGTATTACTGCTTCTTCTCTCTTACATGTGCCTGGATCTTCCATTGCCATCAGTTCTATGAATTCCGTATATTACTAAAACAGAGGGCAAATACTGTACATTTTTACAGTAAATCAAAATTTCTGCATTTCCCAGGTCTTTCTTTTGTTTTGACTCTAAATATCTGAGCAGCATTTCCAGGGCCAAATTAAGGCAGGGACCTTTAGGGGCTGCAGCCCAGGGCCCCAGCTCAAGGGGGCTCCACAAAAATAAAACACAGATGGTGATTTCTGGGCCGCTAAAAGGGCACTCAAGCTACCTGCTTGCATGCTGTGGCCCCACGCCACTCCCAGGAGTGGCTAGCTACTGGCACATCTCTACGGCCCCAGGCAGGGATGGGGCGGGGGGAGGTGGCTCCGCGCACTGCCCTTGCCCCCAGCATTGTCCCCGCAGCTCCCATTGGCCTGAAACCGGTCAATGGGAGCTACGGGGCAGCACTTGCAAGCGCAGGCAGCGCATGGAGACCCGCTGCTTCCCTCCCTCCAGGGGCCGCAGAGATGTGTTAGCCAGCCGCTTCTAGGACTGGCGTGGGGCTATGACAGGCAGGCAGCCTGAGCCCTGCTGCACCGCTGGCCGGGAGCTGCCTGTGGTAAGTGCCTGGGCCTTGCACTCCCTCCCTTGCCCCAGCCCCCTGCCCCAGATCAGAATCCCCCTCCCCACCCAAATTCCCTCCTGGACCCCGCACTCCCTCCTGTACCCCAATTCCCTGCCCTAGCCCCCTCTGTCACCCCAACCCCCTGTAGCAGGTCAGAATCCCCTCCTGCACCCAAACTCCCTCCCTGGCTGCGCACTCCCTCCTGCACCCCACTTCCCTGCCCCAGCCCCCTCGTGCACCAAACTCCTTCCAAGGAAAAAGACTTTGTATACAGGAGCCCCACAAAATCTAATAGCCTCAGGCCCACAGGAGAGTTAATCTGGCGCTGAGTTTTTCATATCCTCTTGAACCGCAGTATATTATAAGAGTGCTTCCTTGCTTCTTCAAAAATTTGCCCTTGAGGCATTCAGAAGGGGTGAGAGCAATTTTTGTATTATGAAACATATATGTCTTGCTATTTGGAAGATGTGAAAGAAAAATGCTTTCTTGCCATGGTCTTGTTTTGTAATGTAGATGAAACCTATTAATGTAGTAGAAAAACCATCCCTATTTCCAGATGAGTAATAGTGTCTATTTGCAGATGAATCAGCTGGGAGTGGGAGGCACTCCCAGGTATGATATTTGAGTGAATCATTTCCCGGACAAGCAATCCTTGCCTTAACTCAGGTTCATAGTAATATACAAGAGAGAAAATGAATTGTTTTGTTTTATTTCTTATACTTTACAAATATAAAAACTTGTTTATTGTTGCTAATGAACTAAATTTGATGTAGCATGTTGCTAGTTTGGAATACGTTTTCATGATTTCTCTTCTTACTTGAAGTTTAGGTAAATATTAACATGATTTCATTTGTAAACTTTGTCATTCATATTATACTCTGAGTCTATACTTTATTACTTAATGTACATACCTGAAGAGGGCAGCCTTCTCCCGTGGAAACCAAGTAATGGTTTGGAAACAGAAACTTTTGAATTCATATCCCAGCTCTGACACTGATGAACTATGTGGCCTTGGCAAATCCCTTTGTGTCTGTGTCTCTTTCTCCATCTATGAACTGTGAAGAGAATTATTTTCTTATCCATCTAAAAGGGTCTATCTGAGGATTACTTGATGTTTGCACAGTGCAATCTGTCAAAGGGTCAACTAAACATTGATGGTGAAGTTGGCTAAAAAGAAATAATTAGAAAATCTATCTTTCTCTGGGGACCTGCCCAGAGTGAGCATTTATACAGCACTTGTAATTTCATCCTTGGTAATTTTTACCTCTGAGACTTTGCTATTCCCTTCTGAGAGATGTGGGAATTTCATGGTTTGTGCAAAAGTACTAACATATTCCATTTAATATTGCCACCTTTTGTTAACCTTTCGGTTGTGTGTTGCAATGATTATCTGGAGACTTAGATTAATCTGTTTACATTCATACAGTCTGTAATCCTCTGTGCTGTTGCATTTGGTAACTGTAGTTGATAGCTCTGCCCCACGTTCTAACAGCCACGTTATAATTTTGTCAGTCTTGTTTCTCCACTGAGTTAAAAAAACAAAACCAAAAAAATAAAACAATCTCTGGTTTTTCATGAGTCACAGATGTGATGACCTTTACACAGAGGTCTCTGACATTTTTGTTCCCTAGGCATTAACCATGCTAAAGCCAGTTCTTCTGTGTAGGTAGGTAGTAAGGTTATTGTGAAAGTCAGCTTCCATCATTTGGAGTCTAGAGTTGTGATTTTCATTTCTGGGAGCACCACAAAATGTCTCTTTCTAAGCCCCTGCTCCTGCCATTAAACCCATATGTGCAGCCCTACTTTCCTGTGAGGAGTCCTGTTGAAACCAGTGGGGCTCATTGCAGATGCAGGCATCTGTCTGGATATATCCAGTTACAGGACCGGACCTGACTGAGTACCTGATACAGATGTTGAGAGCAGGCCATATTGCATCTGGAGGAGAATTGGGTATCTGACGTCTCAATAAATATTATAAAACTACAGTATAATTGCTCAGTTAAGCACGCCGATCTTGCTGATACAGAGGCACCATATGGGGAAATGGTTACCTCAGTAAGGGCTTACTCTTCACCTGACACTGGCTTCTGAAACCATCTGTATAAAAGAACCGTATGAAACCAAAAAGAGAAGTAGGGTTGGCCTTCTCTATCCATCTTGCTTGTTTGCTTTTAATTGGCTCATATAATGAAGTGTTCGGTGGGGAGGGTTCTGTTGCATTGTTTGTGTCTTTATATTAGGAGGGGGCATCTTATATTACTGGTCCCCAAGCATCAAAATTAATCCAGACAGTTCCCAGAATAATGCACGACAGCTGGAAAAGTTCAATAACACATCTTCTCTTTAAATGTGCATTTTAATATATTTTGTGGCCTACTGAGATTTTTTTCTTTGTAGGGTGGGTTTGTTGGTTGGGATTTTATTTTTGTGTCACTTAATCTTGTAGAACTAAATTGATTATTTCAGTTTACAAGACCCATTGTAATCTGTTCACCCAATATTCATCTAATCTGCTGTTTGTTTAGTAGTGTGTAGTTACATGTTTCAGTGTGAGTGCTCCTGGGCTATGATACTTTTCTTGCGATGTTCTTTGTGTAGGGTAAGGAGAGCAGGAATTGGCTAGGTCATGTAAGGCCCTGACCCAAATCCAGACCCTGTGCTTGTCCATATTGCATTTTGTTATGGCATTTTTGTTTGCCTTTAGTGCCTGGATCCTTAGACTTCTAATGAATTCACGGGATTAAGTCCAAAGACTGTAAGCGCTTTGTGTCAGGGAGTCTA